GAGTCGTATAGTATTTGTCTTTCTGTGATGGGTTTATTTCATTTTGCATAACGTGCTCAAGGTTCATCCATGTGGTACTGTTAGAATTTTCTTCATTTTTACGCCTAAATAATGTTCTCTTGTTCATACATACCGTATTTTTTTATCCATTCATCTATCAGTGGATACTTGGGTTACTTCTACTTCTTGCCTATTGTGAATAATACAACTATAACACGTAAAAATCTCTCTTCATGACTCTGTTTTCAATTCATTTGGGTCTATAACCAGAAGTGTAATTCCTAGATCATATGGTAATTCTATTTTTAGTTTTTTGAGGAAACCCCCTACTATTTTCCATAGCAGCTACACCATAAAGAGTTTTCACACACACACACACACACACACACACACACACACACACACAAGCTTGCTCACCACAAATAGCAGACCCTGCTCACCACAACAGAGAAAGCAACAAAGACCCAGGGCAGCCAGAAATTAAAAAAAAAAAAAAGCCCATCAAAAAAAGAGAAGACTCTTCAACAAATGCATTCATATACTGTTAAATGGAAAAAGTGATAACTTACATACATACAGCTTAATTTCAACTACATTTAAAAAAACACAGGAAGAAAGATGAAGTGACTATGTATATAAAACTGTTAACCAATAACGGTGGGTTCCACTGGATGTTGGTGAGATAGACTTATATTTTCTTCCCTAATTCTCTATGATAAGTACAAACTACACTGGTAGTCAAGAAACAAAGTGAAAAAAATTTAGTAGGACACACTTTTCTTCTTGGGCATCGCATCATCTATCACGTGGAGTCTGATAGCCCATTTAGCTTACCACATTTATTCAAAGGGCGCGTGCGCATGCGCGCGCACACACACACACACACACACACAAACGTTTTTCCTTTTATAATCAAAGATGACAGATAACCAGACTGATTTCTGAAAAAACTTAAAGCCCCAAATAACAGTAATTCCAACTCTCAATCAAAGTCAATAAATCTTTTCTCCTCTTCCTCTTACTTAACAGGGCTTTTTAAAAATCCTTCCTATCCAGGCAGAACCTGTGGTCCAGCTGGGACGGCAGAGCTGGCATCTGCACAGAGCAGGGCCAGCAGGCAGGGCTGCGCTGACTTCCTCTCTGTGGCCCCCAAAGCCGGCCTTGCCAGGCCAGCAGCTGACCCCTATTCCCACTTGGTTTGTGGCCTGGGTCAGTAGTTTTCTTCCAGTAGTTGGTAAACCATCTTTGTACCAGGAGAGAGATAGTAAACTGGACTGAGGAGAGAGGGATGGCGGGGAAAGGGGAAGGAAGGGACTCGAAGGATGAACGAGCTGATTTCCATGAAGGCTTTGACATCTTGGAATGAAAAATGGCCTGTAAGAGCAGAAGCCCAGTCCTCTACTCCGGCCATGTTGCCAGCTGGCCATTCATCACCAAAAATTCCCCAACAAATCCATGGCTATTGCTTAATCACCTCATATAAATCTCTTTATTAATCTTGCAAAGTCAAAATACAAATACAAGACGAAAGTCTTTATGTACCCTCAATTTTGGGGTCAAAATGTTAAAAAATGGAACTGATCATCCAACGGTTCCAATGAATGTTTTTTAAACCTTCTTTTGGGGAATAAATAAATGACCTCCTCACTAATGTTTTAGTATCTATTAGACTGAATAAACTCAAGCTAAATGATCAAATAAACTGAAGAAGGAAAAAGCTGTTGGTGTTAAAATTTGAACCAACTTTTTTTTTTTTCCTTTGCAATAACAGTGATGTTTCAAGCCAAACTCAAAAGAAACAGAAAATCTTTAGCAGGCAAAAAGGAACATTTACTATTCCTCTTTCTTTCGTAAATTGCTGGGGACATAAAAGAGCCTCTTCAGCAGTGACATTTGTATTTGTATAATATTTTGTATTGTAACACCTTTTGGGGAAAAGCATATGAGAATATTAGTCAGGGGTTGGCTTTAAGAAGGGCCCACCTGGACCCAGAAGTGACTCTAAGCATGGGACTCCCAGTGCAGACAAACAGCTCTTAGGACAACACTCTCAGAGGACCTCAAGGACAGGGCAGGCATGCAGCAGGCTGAGGCTTCATCACTTATACCCGATGCTATACTTTCCTATTTAGGAAATTCAAAGCTATCCTGCCAGTAACATGGATAATCCAGAAAAACTAACACATGGGTTTGGGATATATTGTGTTCTGGCCATGTGTTTTCCTCTCAAACTCTATTCTAGGCTCTGAACACATCCTGATTAATATGGTAAAAGTGTGCTGTGGAGTAAGAGGAAGCCTGGTGTTATAGACCACCCACAGAGTGTAAAGTTCACACTTGGATAATAAAGAGTTGACTGTACTGGAAACATAAAAGTGGCTTTCCTAGACTCCAGGCAAGGAAGTTGGAAACCCAGCGAATTTCAGTGATTCATGTCTTTGTTTTCTAGGCTGGAAAATCATGGAGGAAAATCAGAGAAGGGGAGGGAGGAAGGATGGAGGCAGAGGATAATGAAAAGACTGATTAGGAAACTGCAATAGGGACCACAGGGAAGTCCGAGAGGATTCTTCTAGCTGAAGAGGAGGCTGGTGGCAGCTCTGTCATCCATCTTCAGGCACTGCACACCATGAAGGTTCATTCAGATGGCTGGCCTGTTACTCCATCTCCTCCTTCCAAGAAGGAACTGACTCAGGAAGCCAGCAGATGATGAATTTCTCTTTCTTTCTTTCTTTTTTTTTTTTTTCTGTTTTCAACCTTTTTTTTGGTTTGCTTTTGTTTTCAACCTTTTATTATGGAAGTTTTAAAGAATATACTAAAGTGGAGAGAATAAAATGATGAAGCCACATAGACCCATGACCAGACTGAAACAATTATCAAAGTATGTCTACTCTTCTTAATCCTCTCTCCTCCCTCAAGCTGTATTAAGGCAAGTATCAGACATCAAAAAGATGATGAATTTCTATGAGATTCATCAAGAAGCAGCAAACTAAGGGGGCAGAATGTCCTTCCGTACAGTACTTGAAGAATTGGAGATTTAGATTTTGTCTTGGGGCAGTCCTTGCTGGAAGCAGAGGTTTCTATAGGATGATTCCCCTGACTTCCTGATCCCCAGAAATAACAGCTAAGAGGACCAGGCCCACTAATTGGTAAACAGAGGAGAACATGAATATGATCACAATTCCTGTTCTCTCAGAAAAAGCATCTTGGGACCTTGTCTAAAAGCCACACAGAGGCAAATGATATTAGGCTTAAGGGAGCAGTTTTTAGAGAGGAAATAAAAATTTGACTAAAAATGAGAGGCTCACCATTAACCATCCCTTTATTGACATTTCAGATACCAGCGAATTTCCCATCAATAACCCTGGTCAAAGCTATAGTTGCTTAGAAAACATAGAGCCTCATATCTCCACTCATTGAGAAATTCTTCATTAGATCCCTTTCTTTCTTTTTTAAATATATTATTCATGTATTTGGCTGCACTGGGTCTTAGTTGTAGCACTCAGGGTCTTTGATCTTCACTGTGGCCTGTGGGATCTAGTCCACTGGCCAGAGATAGTACCTGGGTCCCCTGCATTGGGAGTGTGGAGTCTTAGCCACTGGACCACCAGGGAAGTCCCTGGGTCCCTTTCACCTAAAGGTCTCCTTTAGGACTTTTCACTGTGTGGCTTCCATGTATTTCCTCAGTCCCATTCTCTGCCACACATCCCTTACACTTTAGGTTTCAGAAGAGCTAACTTCTGTGCAGTTCTCGACACTTACCAAGGCATTCCGCATTGCTATGTCTGTGCCTATGACATCCCCTGAGCTTGGAATATCCCTCATCTGTCGTGACCACTTGGCAAAATTCTTAACTCTTGAAGGCATCCTGCCCACCACCCTCTAGGCTACTCCTGTTATCTACTATATACTTTTGTTACCACGCTTTCTATATTCAATGAAAATAATTTATTTACACATCTTTCTCACGTCCTGGATGGGGCTCCTTGAAGCCAAGACTAGTTCCTTCTATATCTTTGTATCCCTATAGCTCCTAACACAGAGGTTATCGTGTAGTCTATGCCCGACGAGACTTTGCTGAATTCCACTGATCTGTGGGTCTCACATTCGCCATTGTTTGCCTCACCACATAAGGTGCGGAGCCCAAGGAAAGTGAACAAAAGAACATTTTTTGAAAAATAAAAAAGAGGCTGCTATGTTAGACAACCAAGATACTAATCATTAATCAAAGGCAACATACTACAGCATGGAATGTGGTAGGCTGTGGGACTCGCCGGACTCCTTCCTCCTGGAATCACAGAGGATGCAAATGGGGGTGGCAGATCCTCACAGAAACACTGTCCTACCAATATAACGTTCTGAGACACAGATATCGAACACTGTGCTGCACAGAGCCCTTCCCGTGTATTCGAGAAAATTGAGAAGTTCTTCTTACTCCATCTTTCACACAGAAAATGCTTTAAGTTTCAGAATAAACTAATGATGGCAAGGATGAAAAAAAAAATACGTATCTAGCCTCCTTTGCCTGGTTTAATCAAGTTCCTCCACTACATACCTAAAACGGCAACTTGTACCTTTTTCTTATTCAGCCCCTCTGGGCCCCTCTGCACCTGCCTAAGTCTTCCACCAGTCTCTCATCTCTGAGTTGCCATGGTGTCCGGTAGTTTATATCACATGATTCAGTCAATTACTGCCTTTCATTGTTAGGTTATCCAACACAGGACTAGGAACATAGCAGATATTCAAAAAACCAAACTGGTGGACAGATAAAAAGCCATAGTACATGCCCCCCCACCCCCAGTCACCCAGCAGTTTTAGAAAAATTGTCAAGAAAATATTTTTCTTTCTTTACCACAACCCAAAGTTTGAAAAAGGTATATAGCTCCAGTAAGTTTAGAAAACTCATGCCAGTGACTTTTAAAACTCCCACAACCAGGAACAGCATTTCTCCAGTGTATTCCTAACCCCCGATAACTCCGTGCTCATGTGGGGCTTTAACATACCTCTTGGCCAGCCAGAGCTTGGCTTTGGTACAAACAGCGACGTCAGCCAGTTCCTGCTGAAAGTATGTATTCATTCTGTATTTGGAGTCTGAGAAGGCTTGTAACAAATGAAAAACCTAAACCAAAAAAAAGAGAGAAAAAGAAACATCCTGCTGTGAAAATATATTTTTCCTAAATGTCCAGTTCTTCCCTTTTAGGTTTCCTCAAAATATTCCCCTCAAAGAAAACAGACACCTGCAAAATGTGGCTCTGGTCTCCTTGCAGGAAAAGCATGTTGATTTTGGAAGGACGCAGCAAGTGGTGAAAAACCTTATGTCTTTCATCTGTACCTGTGCTCTGGCTTCCTCACCAAGTCTATAAAAAGATGACTATTCTGTGACCAGTCATTAGATGCAAGAGTTTATTACTTATAAACAGCCTAAAAATTTATTTTAGCAAAGAAATACAAATATCTTTATCTTAGAAGTCTCATGGAAAAACAAGTACTTTTAAAAAATTATTTCTGCATTTATTTATTTTTGGCTGTGCTCGGTCTTCGCTACTTTGCACAGGCTTTTTCTCTAGTTGCAGAGGGTGGGGTTACTCTCTAGTTCCAGTGCACGGGCTTCCCGTTGCGGTGGTTTCTCTTGGTGCAGAGCACAGGCTTGTGCCTGGGCTCAGCAGTTGTGGTTCCCTGCCTCCAGGGCACAGGCGCAACTTTTTGTGGCACATGAGCTTGGTTGCTCCATGGATCCTCCTAGATCAGGGATTGAACCCGTGTCTCCTGCATTGGCAGGCAGGTTCTTTTCTCCTGAGCCACCCGGGAAGCCCCTCAAGCAGTATTTTTTAAAGTCAAAATCTTACTACACAGGAAAAAATCAACTGTCTGTGGTTCTAATCTGGTTTGGGGTTTATCAGAATGGGCTTGGCTGAAGAAGCAGACTGTAATGACGCTTGCCTTTGCAAATACTGGATAGTGATATCTGTAAACTACTGAGATTTTTTAGATCTTTTCTAAGATGTCAGGAGCTGAGGCAGCAGTGCAGAACCCTGCTTTCTTACTCTTCCATGACTTTATACGTTAGAATTAGGCAGAGCAAGACAAATCCTGTTGTCTCTCTCCAGCTGCCTATATTTAGAACGAAGGCCACAATTCCAGCAAGGCCATGGCACAGCCCATGTGTGTTTGTGTCCTGGTTTGTGTCCACATCTGTGCCTTAGGTTCATTCCGTGATGACACTAACAAGGCCTCCTCGGTGAGAAGTACTAACCTGCAGCAGAGAACAAAAGAGGATGAGGGCATAAATGAGATCATTGGCCTGAGCGAGTGTCAAGGGAAAAGACCTGTCAGAGAATCCTTTAGCTCCTTTATCGAGGGGAGGAGGGGGGTGGGGCAAAGCAAGCACAGATGAACACAGCAAGAACTTGGGAAGCCTCTTTTATTTTTATCTTTTTGGGGGAAGCCTATTTTAATAATCAGAGTGTTCTCTTTCCGTTGTATCCTTTACCGGGGCTGCAGATGATTCTTTCTAAACAGCAAGATTCTACTTTTTCTTCTCTTTCTCTCCTGTCAATGGAGGGCATAACTTTGAGAGTTAAATATGGAAAGGAAGTAATGAGAAAAAGCAAAAGGTCAAGATAAGACATCCAGAGCCATCAGACCCTAAGTGGGGTCTGAGCAGGCAGGTTTTCCTGGGTCAGAGATCTGCAATTTCCAACAACAAATATACGCTGTGCGAGCACCTCTGGTTTAGAGAGTCAGTTTTGATTATTTTATTGTATGGAACTACTATTAAAAAAATTTTTTTCCCCTAAATTGGAGAAGGCACACAAGTCCCAATGTGGAGCCTGAAAATACTTTCTCTAATAATGGATCTGTTATTTCAGAAGCAACAGATCAAATATCACTACTTCACCGCACCCCCATAGGGACCCATACCGCCCGTCGTGAAGTCTGGAGCAGTGGTTCTGGCTGGGGCTTCTGTTCTTATGTGGTGACTGCCAGAGTGAAAAAAATCACCTCCCTCTGCCCGAATCCCCACCATCCTGAGAGAGCTGGCAAAGCCACTGGGTCTTGCTTTCCTTTTCTCCACAGCTGCACAGAACCAACCACCGGGGCTTTTCATGGTGCCACAGGACTGTAATTAATCAGCAGACACCAGCAAAATACATGACTTTGGAATTTACTTATAAAGAAAGCTGTGAGATTTTTCAAACGCCTCTCATTTAAAAGCAATCACTTCAAAAATAACTCCTGATGGATGTTTAAACTTCGTCCTATATTTGCTCACCTTACTTGGCAAAAACAAGGCTGTTTTTGAAACGCTTGGTAGCCCTGGTTTATGAAAACCAGCCTATGAGCCCATCAATTCTGTCACCTTGGGCACAAACCAGACAACAATTGTGATCCTGGTTATTCACCAGGAACGGAGCGTGGTCTGTTTACATGGGACCGATGGTGGAGGAAGTATACTTAGAAGAACCTTGGTGGAAATAAACATGTAGGAGAAACAGAGTAATATACGTGAAAGATAGGGTCAGAGGAGACAAGGAAAATGGGGGCAGGGGAGGAGGGGGAGAGAAGACAAGAGGGCGGCGAAAGGAAGAAATAAAGCTTGTAAGCACATGTCTGAAACAGGTTACTGTGCGTGAGACAAAGTTTTCTTTAAAGATAATTAATGAAAATGTTTGAATATATGACTACCCTCCTATCACATGAAGAATGCTGGGTCTGAGACTTCCCTGTTGGTCCAATGGTTGAGATTCCATACCTCCAATGCAGGGGCTGAGGGTTCAATCCCTGGTCAGGGAACTAAGATCCCACACTATGTGTGGCATAGCCAAAAAAAGAGTGCTGGCTTAATTCTCTCAAGGAAAACGAGGCCATCCTTTGCATGAAGTCTGGAAGTGAGGCCAGACTTCTGGAGCTCTGGTCCAAGGACAGGTCTGGTAGTTCCAGGCAGCTCCAGGAAGGATCATTTGTCCATCAGCTCTGCAAGGATGGCAGGGACGAGGCAGCTCCTCCCCCCAGCTCCCTTCCTGACATTCTGGTCCAGAGGAACTTCTGGGCAAACAGCGTGGCCAAGCCCAGGCCTGGGATAACTAAACCAAACACAGAGAAACCCAAGCTGCCAGACCTGAGGATGACGACTAACTGGACCCACAGGAGAGCCCTGAGAAGTTCAGTGTCACTTTAGGTGTCCCAAGTTGGCAACAGGCTTCCAACATTCAGCCCAAAAATATTTATTAAACAACTATTATTACCAGGCGCTATCCTCGGGGCTGCAGCCGAGAACACACAGAATCCCTGCTTTCCTGCAGCTCACATTCCAGTCGTGGGTAAACAAAAATATCAGTCGTTTCCCAGACTCTGCCTGGTCGGGACTTCTAACCTGCATGATGGCATCGCCATCACTCTGCTCTTCCACGTGGCCCCGGCCTCCACCACGTCCAGGGCAGAGCAGGGCTCAACAAGCCTTTGCTGAACTGATGCTGGTGTTTGGTGCCTCTTCCTCTATCACCTCTGCCTTCAGGACACACACCCATGGGTTTGGTGAGCTACTGGTGGTGCCAACCCCAAGTCAGGAGCAGAGTCACAGAGCTGGATAATATGCACTCCTTACTCCATGGATTCCTAACCTAGTGGATTGCTAACCCAGTGGGGAAAGCAGAGAGGCTGGATCAATGATCAGAATGCAACCCTGTTGAAGGGGGTGAGAGGAGAAGAGACTTCGGAGCCAAATGGACTTTGGTGGAAACCTAGTTTCTAGCTGTAGGGCTTTGAGTCACTTGTTTACGCCACAGTAAAGAGTATAATATTATCTATAATATAATGAGTATAATATTATCTGTAATATAAAGAGTATAATAATATATATCTGGTAGAACTATAGAAAGATTTCAAAGAACATATAGATAGATAGATAGATAGTACTTGGCACATGCTAGGCACCTGATCAAAACACTAGTTCTCTTTTTCCATCTCTTCCCTCCCTTCCAGCCCTCATTCCAAAAATAAACAGAGAAGGCTTTTCAGGAAGAGTGATAGCCATACGTGGCCTTGAAAAGAATCTTGCCAGGAGGAAGAATATACAAGCAGAGGAAATTGAATTATTAAAAAGTGTTAAAGAGTATTAAAATATTGGTATTACCAACAAAAAAGTGAACATTAAGATAAACTATGGGCTTTAATTAATTTTTAATTTAATTTAAAATAAATAAATATAAAATAATAAATATATAGTGCAAAATAATAAAATAAAAGAAAAATAAATATAATTTTATTAACAATGATGTATCAATATGGGTTTATTAACTGTAATAAACATAACACTCTAATGCATGATAGTAATAACAGGAGAAAACTGGGGAGAGGGAGCAGGGAAGAGAGGAATAACATGGGAACTATCTGTACTCATGTTTTCCTGAAAACCCAAAATTATTCTAAAAAAACCCCATTCAGTAAAAGAAAAATATTGGGACCGCTCAGGGTACAGCAAATAGTTGCATGTAACAAGAGTGGAGCCAGGATGTGTGCAGGACGGTGAGAGACACAGCTGAAGAGAGGGGTCAGGTTAGACGGGGAAGGATCTCAAAGGCAGCATCAAGGGATGTGTGCTCTGTTCTGGAGACAGCAAAGACCTCTTCAGAGATCAGATCTCTAATTCGAAAAGGAAAGGCCAGGGACAGTGAGGAGGCTGGGTCAGAAGGGGTCGGGTGAGTGAGACTGTTGCCAGTCTAGACAAAAGGTGGTGGGGCTTGAAACCAGAGCCTGTAAACCAAGAACAGACTGTGGACCAAAAGTGACTGCAGATGTTTTATTTGGCCTATACGGTTATTTTGAAATCGCCATTTGTGAACTGGGAGATTTCACATCAAAATCAACCTGATGTCGAAACTCTTTGGAAAAATGAGAAGATCCGACAATTTAATTTTGTGACACCCCCACTTCATGCCAATCTAAATGATGGTAGCAGCGGAACGCAGAGGGAAGGATGCAGCTGAGAGGCGTTTTGGAGGCAGAAGAAGCAGGACCTGGCAGTTGCTGAAGACCCGGCACTGAAGGTCAGGAAAGAGACCTTCCCCCAGGGCAGCTGAGGATGGAGGGCCAGGCTTCAAGACCAGGATCATGAGAATA